CGGCGGCGGCGGCGGCGGCAGCGCGCGCACGGCGCGTGCGACGGGGGGGCGGAGCAGCGACCGCTGGCGCGGCCGCTGCTCCGTCTGTGCCAGGGACGCGCGCTCTGCGCCGCTGCAGAGCGCGCGCGTCAGGGCAAGGGGCATGCGTGGCGGCGCGGGACGCGCGGCGGCGGCGGCGAGCAGCCTCCGTGAGCGGTGAGGCGGCCGGGCGAGGGCGCGGCGGGTGACGGGTCAAGGGAGCAGCCCACACCCGGCGTCGCTTTTTGAGCGACGCCTGTGGTACGCCTGCGCAGGGGCCGCAGGGCGGTCAGTTGTGGGGCGAGGCGGTGCCGGCCGCGGGCCGGGTGCAAGGCGCCGGCCTCGGCGCCGCCTCGGCGCGCCGCACGGGCGCGGCGAGCCTCTGAGCGGGAGCCGAAGGTTTGCCGTGGTGGGAGGGAGGGAGGGAGGTGGGGGTGAGTTGACTTTGCCGCAGAGGCCGTCCCTACTGTGAACAGCAAAACGGGACAGTATTTCTTTTGTCTGAGGCCCCTGGAAAATACGCGGTGCTCGCCCCCTCTCCTCGCTCCGCGAGCGCACGCCCAACAACAACATACATGTGGCTGCCGCTGCTTCATAGCCTCCCGCAGGCGCACGTGCTGCGCGGCCCGGCGGCCGCGCCGCCGCTCCGCAGCTGGATCCTGATGGGCGGCGTATCTCCCGACCGGATGCCGTCCCACGGCATGCTCTACGACGGGTGGGGCAAGGAGCAGCTCGGCCACCTAAGCGACTCGTGCTCGCTGGTCGAGGCGGGGTACGAGCGGGAGATGAACCGCTTCGAGCTGGCGCTTGCGATCGCGCGCCGCGCCAAGGACAATGCGTATACCTCGGCGCAGGTGCCGCCCTCCCCTCCCCTCCCCGCGCGGCGGCGCCGTCGAGACCGGCCGTCGGCCGCAGCCGTCTTACCGCGGCGCTCGCCTCGTTCACAGGAGGCGCCCAGCGGCGTGATGAGCCACGGCGGCGTCGCGTACCGGCCGCGCAAGTCGCACGTGGTGGTAGCGATGCGCGAGCTCATCACAGAGGTTGAGGCGACCGGAGACCTCGCCGTGCCGCCGCCGCCGCCGCCGGAGGCCGCCGCAGGAGACGCGCGCTCCGCGGGCGGCGCACCGTTGGAGCGCGGCGCGCCGCCGCCGCAGCCCCGCCCTTCGCTCGGGTCGCTCGACGGCGACGGCGGCGCTGCGAAGCTGGAGGACCTGAATGCGATGCTGCTCGCAGACAGCCCGCCGGTCGGCAGCGTCGGCGCGGCAGGCGAGGCCGGTGCCGCGGCCGGAGCTGCGGCGGACGTGGACGGTCTGGAGGCGCTGCTGGCGGGCATCGCGGACTTGGACGGTCTCGACGAGGACTTTGGCGACCTCGCTGTCCCCGCCGACGCCGCCGCGGTGCGCAGCTCAACCCACTGCA